AGTTAAAAGCTAGTTAAGTGACAATGGTATATCCCACCTTTGGGGATTCTGTACCTAGAATACAGACAAGCTTCAATGTTGGGGTGTGATCCCCTTGTAGCAAACACTGGACTAATGCATTATGAGCTCTTACTCCCAAGTCTAAAATTGAGCACGTGTATCATTGAATGGCAGGTTGACTTCATGGGAATGTTGAGCAAGAAGAGCATCGACCAACTGACAGAGAGCAGGCAGCTGAAAGGTGGAAAGAACTTCAGAGAATGTTTGGTTAAGCATCTTTATTTTACATACAGACACTGAATCCAAAAAGGATAAAACATCTGCTCCAAGTTTTCATGGGTAGTTAGTGGCCCAGCTGGGACTAAACCCCTGATTTCCTGACTCTCTGTCCAGTGCTCTTTATAAAGCCTGCGGGAGCTGAGGCAGTCGTCTGTGGGATCACCCACGTCAGTCAGCTTTCTACCATCTGGGCCAACAGGAAAGCAGTGACTCACAGAATCCAACGTTCCTTTGGAATGCAGGAGAGGTGTGCCTTTCTTCTGTGCTGTGAGCCTTTTCAATTTTTGTAAATAAAACCCTACTTTAAATGTCCTAGGAGAGCTGGCAATTGTAAGTGCCTTGCAGTCCAAGATCATATTTGGTGATACTTAGCACAAGCATAGGCTGACTAACTGATGGGTCATTTGATAGATGGAGAGCAAATTTCTGTACATCAAACTGCAAATCATCAGTGATTTTTTGCTTAGACCCAGACCCATTCATTTGCATTTCAAAGCACTTAGGAGTAGCAGGAAAAGTTGAAGGCTGAAGTTTGCCATGGGTAACAAATAGAAAATAATTGAAAGTTAGCTGTTTGAAAATATAAATGTGAAGATTTAGCTTTTAATGCCAGGTTCCACTGTTTCCTAATCTAGGAAATCTTGAAAATTCAAGGATCTCCTATATCAGACCTATTGTCTTGAGATAGATATATTTTTGATAAACTTAAAGCTACAACAGGTGAAGGAAAGACTGGCTCCTCTGACACACAGAGCAGACACCCACCTTCACATTCATTCTGGCCGCACCCTGGAAGAATCCTGCCTTCCCATCTCCTTCCAACCACTCAGGACATGTAGGGATACTCTGGGCTAGGACCACCATTGTTTCTGCCACCTCACACAGACCTCCAAGTCTGCAGGACACAGACACTCAGATTTCTCTGTTTCTAAGGATACTAATGGCTCTGGACATACAGGCAAATATTTATGTGCAGAGGTACTATAAAGATCCTATTCAAAGAAAAGTGAATTCTTAATGATCCACCATTTCCATCGACTGCTCAGCCATTTGACTGCTCAGAAGTCTTCAATGACTCTTCAGTGCCTACAGTATACAGTTCAAACTATTAAGGTGACATTTAAGGCCTTCCACACACTGCCTCCCCATCTTCTTTCCAGCTTCTTGGTCTCATTGTTCTGCTACACAGACCCTTCACTTCAGTCATGCTGACTAATTCACCATCCTCCCAATAACTCTGTGCCTTCCCTTCTGTGCCTTCCCCAGTTGCATACATTCCCTCCCTTGCTCTATTATTCATCACTCATCTATCCCAATGTGACTTTCCATGGCTCAGCTCCAATGCCACCTCCTCCCTGAAATCTCTTTGCTACCCAACTAATAGGATTTCATGCTTTTCTTCCCTCCATGAGAACAGATCTACATTCTTGTTTTCCTCTGCTTTGAATACACAACACTGTCTGTATCCATTCTTAATAAATATTTGTTAACTGATTAATTCTAAATAAGCACAAAAAAAGTTTCCATTTCAAAGCTCTTTAAAATAAGGTAATCATCTGTAGCTATTATTATATTCATACAATGGAAACTCCAGAGCATCTAGTATGTTGTCATTGGAATCCTTTCTTTCCACAGAAGGCCAAACTAGGTCATTTCAAACCTCAGTCACCTTCAAGAGATTCTAGAAGGCACTCTAAGAGTCAGCAAAGAGATCACTTTCCTGGATTCCTGACTTGCTGTCCAGATATGCTACTGAATCAGATTTAGGCAAGTGTGAACTGGAGAAATAGAACGAATCATTAGCACCATCCAAAGGAAATGAAAGGAGATCTTTTGTTACAGTGGCTGGATATTCAGGTTTGAAAGGAGGGAGTGATAGAAAGAAAGGGAGAAGAAAAGATGGCTGTCAATTGCTTTCCCTTTGAAAGTGCTTTTCTTGCCTTTTCTGTTTCTATTTTTCCAACGATGTGATGGAACTGGAATGTCTGGAGGCATTAAATTAGGACTGAAAAGATGATTTGCTATAATCTGATGAGGCTACCTACTAACATATTTATCATCCAGATGCTCCTCTAACTAGGTCCTGCTTAGTCTGCCCAGAAAACATTTCTTTGCTAAATTAAAAAGTGCCAGAAGTGGTACCTTGCCTGTAAAATCACATTAATCTCAGGGTTCAGCCCCAGAATAGTGAATGCACTCTTATTTTTCACGTCCAGTAACAAGGGTTATTCATTTCATAGACTTCATTTAATGGATTTAGCCACATCCTCGAAATTCAAACATACTATTTGGAACGAGGAAAACTGAGTTATGGAGAGTGAGAAGAGAGTAAAACCAATGCAAATGGGCAGGAAAGTTAATGCGAAAAGTTCTAGGTTTCTAAACATTCATTTATTCTTTTATTCATTCATTAAACCAATAAATACTGGCCACTCTCTATGCATCAGTATTCAATAGTGTCATGTATTCAATTGGACTATATGTATCTATTGAGCACTTGTTTTCTGTTAGCTAGTTAACCACTAGATGTAACTTCTTCACCGCCAAAAGGTTTCTGAATATAATTTGAAATGGGGACCTAGAGATAAAAAATTATAAATATTAAGAGAAATAATCAATGTCATGAAACATCATAAGTAACATTTGGATAACGGTTCTAATGTCAAATTTGTTTATATATGATAAAGAGCTTAAATTTTTCATCTCATATATCATTAATCTTCCTTCATACCCTGAGCACATGAGGTTCTACTTTATTGACTCCCAGGTGTATCCAATTGAAAATAAGCTTAGTTATCAAAAAAAAAAAAAGCAATTTGAGGCTTTGAGCTCTAGAGGCAGACAGATGGGAAGATGAATATTTAAAAATGATGTCCAGTGTAACCTTAACGCATATGGTAGCTAGTATTACTATTATCCAAATTCCACTGTTGGGTATGTCCTTAGTGAATTTCTTTAAAATCCTTTTGCACATTTGTGGATCTTTTAAAAACCAATGGTTCTTAAAAGGAGGAGGGGATTTTTGCCCCACAGCCCTGACATTTGGCTAAGTGTAGAGACATTTTTAATTTTCACAACTCGGGGAGGAGGGTGCTATTAGAATCTGGTGGGTAGAGGCCAGAGATACTGCTCAACATCCTACAATTCCCAGGAGAGGTCCCCACAAGAAAGAATTATCCGGCCCAAGATTTGAGTAGTACCTAGTTTGACAAACCCTGCTCTTGGCCATCATTCTTCCTTCTTTTAGAGTCTGGTACCCTCACCTCCAAAGACATCAGGATCTAATCTGAGCCCAGGCTAGGTGTTCTATAAGGTGGCCTGACTCACAGAGTGCACACGCTTTGCAAGCTCATCAGCTGTGGTTCCACTTCTTGTCAGCTTAAGCTAGTTGCTTAACCCTTTTGAAATTCCTTTTTGAAAAAGTCTACAGGATATATATCATACTTACTTCATAAGGTTGTAGTGAACACTAAATCAAGTTTTATATAGGTACATACATGGCTATAGATATAGAGAGAGAGTTATATATCAGTAAATTCTGTAAATTAGTTCTCTTACTCTTCCCAGGCCCACCTATCCATCTCCCTGCCCCTCCCTTCCTCCTGTCAGTACCCCTCATCCCCAAGGCTCAGGTTCTCTCTTTGAAAATGCTTTAATTCCTTTGGTGGCAAAATCAAGCTTGGACTAGGAAGTGAGTCACCACTCAGCAGCTAAAGGAGTTTGTTTTTCTTTCTCTGAATGTATTTCTTAAGAATTTCGGCCTGATCCTTCAGCCTCTTGTTGGTTGAATCCTCTCTTAATGTTTAAGACACACACAGAGAAAGCTGTGGCACCAAGACGTTTTCCAATTGCTAGGAATGAGAGTTTTTAAAATACCGAAAATAACCAGAGGGCAGAGAGCCCTGAAATCCTGTTACATAAGCAGACGTCGGAGGACCGAGGCCGGTTCTGAGGTTCCTTTCTCCACAGGCCAATCTCCGCTGATCCTCTCCAACCTTTGCTGGATTTACCTTAACGCCGCAGAAGTCTCAAGAGGGGCCTCTGGGTACTGCTCACTGCCGGCAGCACCGGGAGAACTTTCTGGTCCAAAAGCACAGCCAGGAGTGATCAGTGAAAGGGCTAGGTTTCGCCCGCGGGTGGTGGGAGACCAGGACTTTGGGGGCGCAGGGAGACCGCGGGGATCGCGGCCACGGAGGTCTGCTCCCCGCTCTGCCCGCTGCGTGTCCACCCCGCACTTGGGATGTGCTACTCCGATGGCCAGCTTCCCCTGTTTTGGCTCGACTCAGAACCCTTCAAGGTTCCTGAACAGTTATTCAGCTTTTCAAATTCACAGAAAACACCTTTTATTATCATAGCCCCTCAGATCTCGCCCGCCCTTCCACACACCATCAGAAATGTCATACAAAAACGGAAAATAATCCGATCCCCTTTTCCTTCCTTGTCTTGCGTGTTGGGCGTCTCTGTCTCTTACTGATTCTCTCTCCAGCCTTTTCCCTGTCGGTGGTCTACACCGCTTTCTCTGTATCTCTATTTCTCTCCGTTCTCTCTCTCTTTTTCCTTTCCCTCTCTCCCTCCCTCTCCCGTTTCAACTGCGTCCTCCGCTCCTAACCCCCCTCGCTCCCCGCCCCTCCTCCCTCTTTCGGGCTCCTCGCTCTGCCCTCTCCGCCCCTCCCTAGAGAAGTGTCCAGCTCCTCCCGGGGCTGCCGCCCGCCGCTCCTTCTCTGCCCACCTACTATGAGGAGCAGCTCCTCCCACCTGCCCATAAAAGCCAAGTGCATGTTACCAGAAGCGGATCAGAGCGCTCTCCCGGTCCTCGCCTGTGGGAGCCCCCGAGCTTCTCTCCTGGATCTTACGTGCTCAAGGTAAGATAACACTGCTGCAGGCATCTGACCTACTAGGGGTTGCTTCGGGGGAATAAGTTTCCTCTGGTCAACGTGCTTACTGTTTGGTTAGAGCTGATTCCTACGGATGCCAGATCAGCTGCTCCTTTAACCAGCAACTGGTTTGAAAACAAACTTCTGTTTGAACGGTAAAATAAAAGTTCATTTTGGGCAGGAACAGCAGCATAAATATTGCAAAAAAAACCCCAAAAAACCCTTTTCTCCTTTTAAATCACTTTTCCCCTGTTGCTGGCTGCTG